GATTTTTTTTTTTTTTTTTTTTTTTTTTTTTTTTCCTTTCTCTTGTGATTCTCTGCTGTACTGCGGCCATTCCATGGTGTTCCGATCTCCTCTAGAGCTCTATCCCACCCACTTCTTCCTGCCAAACTTCAGCGAGCGCTCCCTGCTCCTGGCCGGCGGCAGCGGCGGAGGTGGGCGGCGGCGGCGGCGGAGGAGGAGGCGGCGGCGGCGGTGTGCGGGCCCCCGAAGAGCTGTCAATGTTCCAGCTGCCCACTCTCAACTTCTCCCCGGAGCAAGTGGCCAGCGTGTGCGAGACGCTGGAGGAGACCGGGGACATCGAGCGGCTGGGGCGCTTCCTCTGGTCCTTGCCCGTGGCCCCCGGGGCGTGCGAGGCCATCAACAAGCATGAGTCCATCCTGAGAGCCCGGGCCGTGGTGGCCTTCCACACCGGCAACTTCAGGGACCTCTACCACATCCTGGAGAACCACAAGTTCACCAAGGAGTCCCACGGGAAGCTGCAGGCCATGTGGCTGGAAGCCCACTACCAGGAGGCCGAGAAGAAGCTCCGGGGCCGCCCCCTAGGACCGGTTGATAAGTACAGGGTGAGGAAGAAGTTCCCCCTGCCCAGGACCATCTGGGACGGGGAGCAGAAAACCCACTGCTTCAAGGAGAGGACTCGCAGCCTGCTGAGGGAGTGGTACCTGCAGGACCCCTACCCCAACCCCAGCAAGAAGAGGGAACTGGCCCAGGCCACCGGGCTCACCCCCACGCAGGTGGGCAACTGGTTCAAGAACCGCAGGCAGAGGGACAGAGCGGCGGCTGCCAAGAACAGGTCAGTGCCCACCTCCCAGGGGCCCTTCTCTCACCATGGGGGCCACTCTTCACCCAGGGCACCATCTCACCCAATACTTCCATCCGCAAATGTATACCCAACCAGAACAAGGAGAGGGCAACCACGTCCGAACAGCAGCCGCAATAACAACACAAATCATCATCATCATAATCATCATCATAATCATCATTATAATGACAGAAATATAAATGCAATAGACAAATAGATATGTCATTTAAAAAAGCCCAGTAAAGTATAGGATATACATTTTCCAAAAAAAAGTATAGATTCCTACATCTATCTATCTATCTATCTATCTATCCATCTCTCTATCCATGTGACAGAGAGATAATGTAATAAAATATATCATGGTATGTATGTGCTACCAGATATATCTATAGTCAGATACAAATATATGTATAGAGAGAGAATGTGAAATTACATATGTATTTGACTCCCTCTATCTATATAATAATAAAATGTTAAGTGAAAGATATATAAAGATATATATATATAGATAATTTTAAGAAAGTTAAGTTCAATAAATATTTGACTTTCTCATATATATATATATATATATATATATATATATATATATATATATATAAATGTATATATATATATTTTAGGTGAAAGTAAATATGTGGGTTTTTTTTTATTTGACTACACATAAAATATTAGATAAGTGGATTTGACTCTCTCTCTCAAATAAAATATTAAGTAAGTGAAATTAAATAGTTTTTGACTGGTTTGACTATATATACATAAAGTGTTAAGTCAGTGGAAGTTAAACGTGTGTTTGACTGTCTCTCACTGCCTCTCTCTTTATATATATATATATATATATGTAATAAATCCTTAAGTAAGTGAAAGTAAATAGTTTTTTTTTACTAGTTTGACTCTCTCTCTCTATACATATAAATTGTTAGGTAAGTGGAAGTGAAACATGTGTTTGACTCTCTCTCTATTTATTTATATATACAATTATAAAAAAAAATGTTAAGTAAGTGAAATAGTTTTTTTTTTTACTAATTTGACTCTCTCTCTCTTTCTATATTTCTTATATATATATATATATATATATATATACACGCATACACACACGCTTAATATATTTTAATATTGCAGGGAGGATATATAATAAATAATTTGCATTTAAAGGTAAAACACAGGCACATGAAAAGAGCTGTACCCCCCCCCCCCCCCCCCCCCCTACCCACCACCCCGCATATACGAGATCTTTTCAGCAACTCACACACACATACACTATATACTACATCATCTGCTGTGCTATATAGATATAATTCATCAGTAGCATTATAGCTGAAATTCTAATGGACTTCCAGAAGACCCAGCAGTTAGTGTGCAATGTGCAGATAGGTGAGGACAAGTCAGGAAGGAGAGGAGGAAATGTTCCTGAACCCCATCCAAGTCATGTGCAATGGCCCCTGATTAGGTCTAGGTGATGCACCTCCATTCTGGAAGGCTAAAACCCCTCTTAAGTAGCTTCTCCGGGCTCGTCCTGATTTCCATTTAATTAACACAGCGAGTGTGTAAACAAACGTGCAGTGTACCTATTGTCTGCTGAAATTCATTACATTATGTCACTGGCAGGCTGGGCTTCATTTGTACTGAGCAAGAAAGACACTGACACAAATTGTTTACCTCTTTCAATGTTGGTTAGGGCAAATTAGGGAATTACAGCAGCTAGGCTTAAATGGTAAACAAGGTTAGCTACGGGGGGCTTTTGTCAACAGAAAAGGTATTGACAGCGCTAGTGCTGCACAATATATAGCGCCTAAATAATACCTGGGACCCCCAACAAGAGGCAGGGCAACACAGAACAGTGTACAACTTCCATCCACTATAGAATAAACTATACCTGGCTTGTATATAGCTAAATACATCTATGTGTCTAAATACACCTATAAATGTAACTATAAATCAATGCAACTAAACATACATATAAATCTAACACACCTATAAAATAAAGTGACCACATCTATATATCTAAAAATACTACAATTATAAAATGTGACTACATCTATGTATCTAAACATAAATAAATATAAACCTACATTTAAATCTGACCACATCATATATCTAAATACACCTAATAAAGTAACTACATCTATGTATCTAAAAATACCTGTAAATCTACACAACACACACACTATAAATACCACATCTATATATCTAAATACAAATAAAATGTGACTACATCTATGTATCTAAACATACCTATAAACCATAATTAAGACACACACACACCTATAAATCTGACCACATCTATATATCTAAATACACCTAATAATGTAACTACATCTATGTATCTAAACATACCTGTAAATCTACACAACAAACACACACACACTTATAAATCTGATCACATCTATGTATCTAAATACAATTATAAATGTGACTACATCTATGTATCTAAACATACCTATAAATCTACACAAATAAACACACACACTTATAAATCTGATCACATCTATGTATCTAAATACAATTGTAAATGTAACTATATCTCTGTATCTAAATACACCTAATAAAAGTAACTACACATATGTATATAAATATATTGATACATTTAACTACATCTATGTATCTAAACATACCTATAAACCTACACAACACACACACACACACAACTATAAAGCTGATCACATCTATATATTTAAATGCAATGATAAATGTAACTACATCTATGTATCTAAATACACCTATAAAAATAACTACACCTATGTATATAAATATATGGATAACTGTAACTACATCTATGCATCTAAATACATCTATAATCTAACTACAAGTATATATTTAAATACATCTAAAAATGTAATAACATCTATATATCTAAATACATCTATGTATCCAAATACACCTATAAATTTAACTGCATCTACATATCTATTAAACATGTCTATACATAGTTATATGTCATATTCAAAATCTCAGTAGACCCAATTATACCAAATTCATGGATTCTCACTAACTTTAAGGGATTGATCATAATATTCTAATATAGGACGTCCAGGCTTTTGCCATAGACAACCATTGTATAGGGAGTTCTGGTCTTTTTTAGAATCTTATATGGAAGTTAAATAATTTTAAAGCTTTATTTTCATATTAGGTCCCTATAGAGGCAAGATCATATTATTTTATTTTGTATTATTAAAAAAACACTGTTTAGCTGAACGGGATGTATAATGAAGGGGTTGAATGAATATTGATACATTTTGGGGTGTTTTACTTATTTTTTTTAATTGTGCTTTTTAGAGAACTTTAAAATGAGAAGATATTTAAGTAATATGAAGATGTGATAATATTATATAGTGACTGCATAGCATACCATCGACAGCTGAGGCATAAACCACACAAGTTTTCTTTATGTATTAAAATTGGATAATGATAAATGTAGCAGAATCGTCCGAATAAAAATACAATGTCGCACATCCTGTGTAGCAGTGAAAAGATCACAGCTTTATGTTATACCCCTAATAGAGGATCTAACTGGGTCAGCACTGGAGCAGTGATATTATAGTATTAGAGGAACACGTGAAATTCTCAAATTGTCCAACCAGAGATGTGAAAAAATGTTGATTCAGCTGAGAATTTGTGCCATTAATAAGGGTAACAGCATCAATATCAAAACACAACTTGCGACCCAATAAATTGTAGCTTATGAAGGTCCCAAATTGTAACTGCTCAAAAAAAGTTCCCAGAAATCTGATTTCAGCTTATTTATTTTGGGCTTGTATTATACAGAGCATTTTTTTTTTATTTTGTTCTAGTCTGTGATACAGTTGACACCTGTGTTTCAAGGCATATGAAATATATAGGGGTGCTAGAGTTCTAAGAGGTGCTAGGGTGCTTGCATTGTAGTGGCGCAGTACAAATACTTGCACCCCCATTTTTTTTCATGATTGTGGCAGGGATGAAACATTTTTGAATATTCACGTTGCATTCTGTGGTGTCCCCCTTTACCAGGCTTCAGCACCAGTCTATCGGACAAAGTGGCATGCGGTCGTTGGCAGATCCAGGTTGCCCCACACACAGCTCGGCAGAGTCACCCTCCACAGCGGCTGCCAGTCCGACCACCAGTGTGTCCAGCCTGGCAGAGCGAGCTGAGACTGGCACCTCCATCCTGTCAGTCACCTCCAGCGACTCAGAATGTGATGTATGATAGCTAGGCAGACCCACTCATGCCAGACCTAGAAGGGACTGATAATGGACCTGAACTTCCAGGGACTGTCACACAACAACTAGAGGACGTAAAAAAAAGGTGACACCTAGACTCCTAAAGGACAAGCACGACGTCTATTTGCGCTTATTATGGACGCATGACCACTTGCATGAATCATTTGTATGTGGGGACTTATTCTAAACCTCTCCGTTCCAAAAAAAACCTACCCAGGATCTCCAGGAAGAGGAAACACTCATATCTCCACCTCTTCTCAGTTTTTTTGTTATTTATTTTTTGTCGATTTATCTCCTCTGTCTGTCAAAAATCCGAGTAAATGGTCACTCCAGATGCAAACCTTTTCTGTATTTTTTCATTGTTATTCTTTTTTTTCTTTTTTGTTGTTGTCCAGCTGACAATCATTTTTATTCGTAAGCACCTTTTTTTCTACACCTCTGTCACTGCCTGTGTGGGTTTACTGGTTAATGTGGAAAAAAGAATAGTTTATGACTGTAACAGATTTTTATTTTTATTTCAAGATTTTATATGAATTATGTATATCTCAATGATGAGGCCGTGTTCCCAGTTGTAATATATGTGTAGAAATGCTTGTATATAATATTTCTAATTTGTTTCCTTAATATTTGCCCCACAACCCTTTTATTGTTTGAGTTGTTTCTCCATTGTGGAAGGTGCCTGCCTTCTCTCTCTCCTCTCTCTCTCTCTCCTCTCCCCCTCTCTCTCTCTCTCTCTCTCTCTCTCTCTCTCTCTCTCTCTCTCTCTCTCTCTCTCTTCTCTCTCTCTCTTTTCCTTTGCTTGTTTGTTTTCAACTCTCCTTTCCGCTCTCTCCTTTCTTATTTCTCTCCCCCCTTAACTGGTCTTTTTTTTAACTTTATTTTCTTTTTTTTCTTTCTTTCTTTCTTTCTTTCTTTTTCTTTCTTTCTTTCTTTCTTTCTTTCTTTCGTTTTTTCCTTTTTCTTCTCTGTTTTTAACTCTCATTTCCTCTTTGTCCCCCCTCCCTCTTCCCCCCCCCCTTTTCTGACCCTTTTAAATTCTCATTTTCTATTTCTCCCTCTCTCCTTCTCTTTCTCTCTGTTTTTTTTTTCTTTTTCTGGTCTGTCTCAACTCTCCCTTCCTTTCTCACTCTCTCTTTTTTTCTCTGTTGCTTTTTTTTTTTTTTTTTCTCCTCTGTGTTCGACTTTCTTTTATTTTACATTTTCTTTTTCTTTCTTTCTTTCTTTCTTTTTCTTTCTTTCTTTCTTTCTTTCTTTCTTTCTTTCTTTCTTTCTTTCTTTCTTTCTTTTTCTTTCTCTCTCTTCTTTCTTGCTCTCTTTCTCTCTCTCTCTCTCTCTCTCTCTCTCCCTCTCTCTCTCTCTCTCCTTTTCCCGACTGTTTTGCAATTCTTTCTTTCTTTCTTTCTTTCTTTCTTTCTTTCTTTCTTTCTTTCTTTCTTTCTTTCTTTTTTCTTTCTTTCTTTCTTTCTTTCTTTCTTTCTTTCTTTCTTTCCCTCTCAACCTTTTTTCCCTCTTATGTTTCTTGGACCCCCCTCAACTCTAGAAATGCTTTTGATACAAACCGTAATCATGTTATGCAAGAATTGTTCCAGGTGTCCCCCCAACCATCCCCGGGCCATTCTGAGGGCCCACTTAGAGCGCTTATTATAATCTTGTCTGCTCTGCGTGTTTCTGTTTCCATATGTACAAAACTTTCTGAAAATACAAAAAACTCATTTGGTTTTCCTATTTCTTCTGCGATTCTGGTGTATTCGTCATCGTCCTCCTGAACCTCTCCTTCCCTCGATTGCACTTTCTGAGTTCTGTGAGCCAGGGTGGGGGATATGGATGCAATCCAAAGGGTTAATCAACATCCTAAATACTTCAATGTTTGGCAATATATATATATATATGTATATATATATATATATATATATACGCGTTTGTTTTGGATTTTTTTTTCTTTTTTCAATTTTTAAGTCTTGAAAAGCAGTTAGCAAAAAGCCTATCAGTGCAGATTCCATTAACCCTTTAGAGCACAGTCATGTGTATATACTTTTTTTTCCCATCATAAAAAAGGATTAATTGGCTGCAGGGGTATTTCTAGGTAATATGTACTTTTTCAAGTTTGCTGTGCAACCTGGGCAGTTAGGTTGCTTGCTGCATTGCACTTGTGTGTTTGCAAAATAAATAAATTATATATATATATATATATATATATATATATATATATATATATATATATAATAAACACTGTCTCCACCGTACCTCTGTTTAGCCTTCAGCTCCTCCCCTGCAGACTTAGGTGCCCTGTCATGTGTTCTGCCTTTTACCTATTTTGCATAGTTTGCAGTATCCAAGCACTAAGTTAATGCATTCAACTTCTTTTTTTTTTTGCTTTGCCCCAGGCTGCTTATCCAGCCGTGAATAACACAAGCTGGATTGCAAACTTGTTTTTACTTGAAAATACACTTTTATAATCTTCTTATTACTCACAAAGAAACGTGCCTGGAATTTCATGTCCACTTCAAAACAAATTTTTCACTTCCGAATCACCACTTTTTTTTGATGGGGGGGGGGGGGGGGGCAGGCTCCTTTCTTGCCTACCACTGCGACAGACAAGGGTCATATATTCCCCAGATTCGGTGGAGGGTCACAGGGGAGGTGCTGAGAAGACTCCAGTGTGGTGTGAGTACAGGCAACAATCCCCAAGGGCACTTGTTCTAGGAAACCCCTATTGGACTCCATGCACACTGGCTTAAAAATCGCTGCTTCTCCAGGAGTTTTGTGTTTTTCCTGCAGAAGCAGCTCAGTGTTATCCTATGTGTCCGTGCACATTAGGACGATTGGAGGCATATTTTAAGCTCAACCTATAAAGGCACAAAAATGCTCTATATCAGCATTTTTTTTTTTCTGCCAAAGGTACTGGCGTTTTATTTAAGCCCAGTGCGAAAAGTATTTACTAAAGTTGGTGCTATTTGTCAGTTTTCTTGCGCCAGAAGTGCAGCTTTTGCGCCACATTTGTCTTTGCTTCACATTGGTCGCACCTTGGCGACTGATTGCCTTGTAAGATGTTATAAGAGGTCATTCAGCATGGGGTAGCCATTAAGTATTATATTTAAATAGTTTTAAATTATCTTTAAGTTTCCACTATTATTACTATGAAAGAAGGAAGGTATAACTGGCAGACAGGTTTTCTAACTGAAACGCCTATGGAACTTGTCCTTTAAGCAAATATTGGCACTGATGCAGTTTTTTTTTTAATTTGCACTGAGCTCTAGCAATCACTTGGGTGAACATAAATGTTTTGATGCTTTAATGCCTAGAGACAATAGTATAATAGTCAATAACTTGACCCCCCACCAAAAAAAATGCCTTATCACCTATAGATGTAAACATTGACTCACCTGTAAATGTCTTGCAAAAATCACAGATATTGAAAGGGTTAATGCAATTCTTCAAAACATTTTTTAGGCTGAGAACAACCTCCCTTCCTGATAAAATATGTATACACCTGAACATTAGGGTCATGGGATCTGTTCTATATATTGCTGTGTACATTGACGTTCAATCCCTGCACAAATACCTCCCCAGCGTGAACCTAGTATTCAATAACTGTATATAATGTGTAATAAAATATAAAAAAAAAAACAAAAGCAAAAAAAAAAAAATAAAACTCTGACATCATTATATTCAGTCTGGTAAGTCACCCCACCCTTTTCTTTTTTTTTTTTTTTATTATAAATTAATTTTTAAACAGGCTACTTTATTTAAAGTTGAAATTAAAAGAAGGATGTTTGCATTTTTTTTTCTTTTGTAAGCTATAATTAAATTCTTCGAGAAATCTTTACAGATATGACTGCTCTTTTGTTGTTCTTTCTGGTGCAGTGTGTAAAGTGTTTAGAGGTCCTGCAGTGGTTTATTTTATACACATATATATATATATATATATATATATATATATATATATATATATATATATATATATATATATAAAATACAATAGTATTTAAATATATCCCTATGAATATTTTATTACATATATATATTCTCAAGTAAGATTTTGCTAAATATGCACCCTTGGACGAATTTCAATGTAAATTTGGGGGAACATTGTTCACACTCCTAATTTCTCAGCGAATATCGTGTTTGCCCACCCGGACAATAACACACAAAACAATGATGATTTGGGATTTGCGTTGAAAAACTTCAATGGCTGATTGAGGTGTAAATCTATGAAAATCTGTGTGTTAAGCTCCCACACCAAATCCATCTGCCTGGGGAAGATAGGGCCTATCAAACCCAGCAAAGCGGGCAGCTTTTCCTCTTTACTTGGTAGGACCTGATCGTTATCGGTAGGCCTTCTTCAGCTCCCAGCTCTTAGTTTTATTATCCGGGGCAAGCCAGGATGTGGATGAAGATGAAATTACAAGTACATGCGATCAATACCCCCAGCTTAGGTCTGTGGGCAGATGGCACCAATTCACAATCACAAACTTATTCCCCCCAAAAAAGGAATACAATGTCACATATGTATAGGGAAGTGAGGATGGAGTGAATACACTAGTGTTTGAATTTCTAGTGTGGTTAATGGCAGATATTTGTATATTTAATTAATGAATAATTATGTGTACAAAGTATCAATGCTGGCATATAAATATGTGTAGAGAAGATGGTCCATGAAAGGAGCAGAACCAACCAGGTAACCTGACAAGTGGTGCGATACCTCTGGTCCTCTAATCCATATCTATCTATCTATCTATCTATCTATCTATCTATCTATCTATCTATCTATCTATCTATCTATCTATCTATGTATCTATAGAATAGATATTTACATATATTGAGCTGATTTACTTAAAAAGTAGAGGATCTTCACAATATAAATTGAGTGAATATCCACTTCAATTATCCAATCACATGCAGATGAAATGAAAAAAACAAAAACGGAATTTACTTTTCACATGATTGGAAAACAGAAAGGAATATTCAAACAATTCTACTTAGTGA